CAGGAATACAATACTAATAAAACACCCTTTCAATTACATAGTTCCTGCTCTGCTATAAATTTAATTGGAGCTGTGACTCAGCTGAAGACCATGCTCGTGTCATTTCATGATATTCACCCAACCCATATGATGTCAATGACACAGTTCCCTACTAAAAGTTAATACCAAACTCCAACTAAATGCCACAATATTAAGGGAAGTTTGTCTTGTTGGCCATAATTAATTTCTCTGACATAATTTTGGAGGGTTATTTCCATTTTGAATACAGAAGCACCGATGTATATGTGTCCAATGAAAAACACACCAGCATTTTCTAGAGAACTGGCACAAAAAATGATGTGAGCAAGCTAAAGAAGAAAATTAAGACAACACTTTGTCAGAAGAAGAGACTCAGCAATAGTGTGCAAGTGCTTTGATGTTGACAATGCAGTAAGAAAAGATTAAGAGCTATGGAAACAATTCAGTGCTATCACTTGCTGACTCTTGTGATGAATCAAACTGTTATCATCTCTGCCAACGTACCGGGTTAGCTCTTTGTAAAAATCAGAACTAATGACAATATTCTAATTAGTTTACTTATTTTTTTCTACTTTATGTAAGAAAGAATTACTAAGAATACTATTAACATACTTTGAAAACCATAGGCAACTATGACAACGGGGCCACACAGTAGAATGATGGAGTCTTCCTCCAAGAGCTTTATGTCTCATAGAATACTGCTGGCTTTTAAATTTTTCTTTAAAACTCAGAGTCAAACAAGTGACGTGACTTTAAAAGAAATAAATAATTGCATATATATGATATGAAGGAACCTCTTTACAAATCCATATATTATAAATCAAATGGTGGGAGTGTGCAAAAGACTGAGAACCACAGTGGGTTTATACTCCCAACAAACAGGCTTCAAATCGGATTCATAAAAGCAAAAGCACTTATCCACAGCTCCCCAGCTAAACACACATGATTTCTGAGGGTGAAAGTTTTATCCAGACCACATGAGCAGCGACAAACATATGAGGAGAAAAATACTGCATGGAATTTGCAATTACACGTAAAATTTCTGAAAAAGGATATCTGTCTAAAAATACATAAATTTTAATTAGCTTATCATTGTGCCTAAAACAAGAAAACAAAGACATGTTTCCAGTTGTCAAATCATGTATAAAGCAAGCAAAAGCAAGAAAAGAAATGGTAGGCTCCATTATTCGCCAGGCAGTAAGCTGTCAAATCTCCA